TAATAGAACCACCTGCTTGAAAATTAGAAGGTATGTTACGTTCATGGAATAAAGTTCCTTTTACAAAGATTTTTGCAAAAACGGACCCCCAAAGGAGTGGGGTTGCGAGGGATTAAGGCGTGTTATAGAAAAATTCCTGTTTTTGGATTTAACTCATTTACTTGAAATTTGTTGAGCATTTTTCTTCAGTTGAATAGAGTTCCACTAAGAATGGATTTTACGGAAATCAACTCCAGGGGGAAGCGGGGAGAGTTATTGGGGTGTATTGATAGACAAAATTCCCGTTTTTGAACTGCTAAGACTATAATAATAAAATTTGGTTTGCATGCTTCTTTTTTGTTGAATTGGAATCCGCTAAGAATGCTGTCAACGAGGTATTGATGATAAAAATTCCGTTTTTGCTCTGTTAGATTTAGGCTTGAAATTTAACACGCATGTTTATTTTATGGAGTAGAGATCCACTGAAAGTTGCTTTGGTGGAAATCCACTTGATTATTAGGTTAAGTGAGCGAAAAAAATCTTTCTTCTATTTTAGATATAAATAGAAATGAGATATTATAATTTATGTTCTTTTTGTATCAAGGGGCGAGAGTGTAACAGCTATAAATATATTTTTCAATACAATCAAATTCTTAATGCTAGATATCAATAATTAATATATATGTAAACAGTATGCATATATACAACATCGTGAAATACCCAGTGAAGTGGGTGGGTAACGGCTAGTATATATATATCAGATGCGTTTCTGTATATTTAGTTTTTTTAACTTGGTGAATAATAGCTTTCCATTAATTTCAAGACTCTTGGCTCTCTTAGAAAAAGCTCTGTGAGTAAAAATTTTGTAAAATTCTCTTTTGAAAAATACTTTTCTTACGTAATTGTTTTAGAAATTTTCTGCTTTAATATTTTAGGAGAATTTGTTGCAGAATAGTAATCTCAGTGGTTTTATCATACTTTCTGTGATTTTTTATATGCTTTGAATTTTTGTTTATTTTATTTGGCTTTTCCTACCGAATTGTAAAGGGGGAAGGTTGGCGCCTTCAAACTAGTTTAACACCACTTATTCGGTCCTAAGTCTGAAATTGCTTTCTGATTAGCTAGGTTCTTTTTTGTAGTTCCTTTTTTTGTATTTTTCTATAAATTCGATCTTCGTATTAAGCTTTTATATCTTTATTACGTTATTTCTTATTATGTTCATTATCTATTATTTCTTATTTTTGATATATTATATAAATTTCTTTCATATATATATATATATATATATATATATATATATATATATATATATATATATGTACGTATATATATATATACTCTTATTCTCTACAAACAAGAGACAATATCCAACAATAACATTCGAAAAACACAAAGGCAGTAGGAAAATCACACAATGAAGGACACATGAGCAACCGAGAATAAAATTATAAAATAGATGCTGCAGTATTATAAACACTGCTGACTTAGGACAGATATTATATAAAATATTTTATATAAAAGTGGGGTTGAACATGTTTTTTGGCCAGTCAACCTTCCTCTTTCATGTAAATAATACTGAGCAAAAACCTAATGAAAGTAATGGATAGAAATATCTAAATCCATTACAAGATAGAAGTAACTTACCTAAAAATTGCACTTAAAAGTGCAGTGCCCACGCTAAATCTGAGTGCAATAAAGAAGTTATTGTCAGATTCTGGACCCTAATGCAGATTTAAATTATTATATATATATATATATATATATATATATATATGTGTGTGTGTGTGTGTGTGTGTGTGTGTGTGTGTGTGTGTGTGTGTGTGTGTAGGAGAGAGTGAACTAATAGTAAGAATTGAATAATCACTGAAAAAGAGAATTAAAACGTTTCTGTTCGTATCTGTTTAACATTAATGCTTTTTTTAATAAAGGGAACTACATTTCTTGAAATGCTAATAAAAAAAAAGTTTATTTCACAGAATTTCTTGTTTAAATTTCAACCTACCGCAAACTCCAGCGTACAACGCGCACTTTTAACACAAAAAATAAGAGCGAAATTTAAGGGTGTGAGTTATACGCTAGGTATAAAAATGATAGCTTTAAAAACAAAACAAAAAAGATGAGTATAGAAAAAATTCAGACTTCTACATAGATCGAAATACTGTTTCTTTAAAAGAACAGCATTTCGCATTCTTTATGGTATTCCTTATGAATTTAAAGAGTTGCAGTTCTAGAAGTATATTATTTTTTTCCAGAGCTTGGAATAATACCTCGAATAAATGAGACTTCAAAACATAAGAGCATTGAGCATGTAAATTTGAGGTTTCTTCGCAAAACAGGGGGTGCGCGTTAATACACCAAAACATTAAATATTGTAGCTTGAAAGTATAAGTAAGTGCACGTTACACGCCGGATTTTACGGTATTTTAATTTAGTTGTTTTTCCCCCATAAAGTAAAACTTCCCAATATATTACATATATTTTTGTAAGCCGTTTGTATTCTTAAAAGTGAATTTGTAATTCATATCAAAAAGGAATATAAATAATTTTTTATTTTTATATACGTTCTCTGTATTTTCATTTTGAATAAATTAAATAAATTCCAATTACAGAATGTTATTTGCTTACAACTTCCGGACGTACTGGACTCGCAACAAACAGAAACATGTGTACTCGTTTGACAAGTACAACAGCCTTATTTACAACTTCAGTAGTAAAGATATGACTTTCCTCTACCTAACAACGGAAGGGTTTTCTAATCTGCCCTTCCCAACACTTAAAGTTCTACAAGAACTGCCATTAACAGATTACACAATAAGGAATATATCGATATATACAGTCACATTTCTTGTTTGATCCTTATCATCACTTAAACATGGTTCATCCTTCGAGAGGAAAACTTGTTTGAATGTACACAGGAACTGATAAGAAAAGTTAGTCCAAATTAACTTTTTTTGAATTAAATGACTGTTTGGCAAGTGATTGGGAAAACTTTCACTGCGAATTAAGGAAATATAAATTGAGAGAGAGAAAGTTTCTTCCTACTTCTTTGGATCTCATAATGATATTGATTGGTATATTTTTTAACAGAATTCTTTATGTTCACTTGATAAATATTTCAAAGATTGAAAGAATAAGCAACAAAGAGGGAAGCGAGCAATGCCCCTTTCTAAAATTGTAAGCCGATGAAGGGAATTTTTTTGTATTGGAGAAAGAAATCGTATAAATAAATTTTCTATTATATTTTATTGAGGTAAGCTTAAATAATAACAAAATTTACGAAATTTCTCTTCGTAATATTTTTTTTTTGAAATGTGTATGCATATATATATATATATATATATATATATATATATATATATATATATCCGCACTCCCGAAGTAAGTCTTACTAACTACATTTTGCATCGAATTTAAATCTATACTATGAATATTAGTAGGCTATAATTTTATAATTATGTTTTATTAGTTTAGTGATTTCTCCTAATATTATTCTTTCCTTTCTTCTTGGTACGTACATGACAAAATACAAGTGAAGGTTGGCTATACCTAAAACTTGTTTAGACCTGCAATCCTGGTTCCTAAGGCCAGGAGTTTGTTATTGTACTACTGTGCCTATTTAGTATAGTTATCTTAGGTTCTATAGCTATCTGTGTATTTATATATTTTTTAATATATATATATATATATATATATATATTTATATACATACATCCCTATACATATATATATATGTATATATATATATAATTTCAAAGAATATATATATACCACCGTTTGTATTACAAAATCATTAATAGTTTTATAGTTAAGAGAAAATATATTTTATTATAGGGTTTATTATTCATTTATTTATTTTTTAACATTTCCCCACATTTTATTCTAATAAGTATATTCTACAGGAAACCAAAAATTATATATATATATATATATATATATATATATATATACAAAAGGAAGTATTTTTCAATTCCTACTATTAGTTGAGAGTTCAAGCTTTTCCTATGTATATTATGTCTTATTCAAATTTTCAACCGTAATAAAATACTTTTTATTCATCCATTCAAGTTCAAATACATTTTTTTAAAATTGCAGTGGATGACACTTGATGTTAATACAGTTTTTCAAATATTAATTCATTAAGTAAATTAAAAAAACGGATAAATAGCAACGAACCAAAATAATAGTCCAACAACCTTATATAAAAAGGAAATAGGCTCGTTGTGTCCTTGTATCGCATTGGACTTCTAATCCAGCAGGAGTGGGTTCGAATTCTACCTGGGTTGGCCTAATTTCTGAGAATGTTATTTATGAATGAATAAATAGTAACAAACAAAAAAAATGATAGTCCAACTCCACATGTAAAAAGGAAAACTACAAGGGAAATGGCTTTCTAGTTTGCCACTTAATATTGTGATACTGTCATATGTATATACATATTTATATTAATTTAATTGCTTAGTAAAATATAACTAAAATATATAAATTTTCTAAGTAGGAATTGACTTAATTTTTTTATATTACTTTTTTTATTATAGAAAGTTAGTTTCTTTCTACTTGTTTTGAATGCCCTTAAAAAACTACTGGTATTGTAAGGTGTATGCGTGTAGCTGTATTTTTCTTCAAATTAGCATATTTTAAATTTTTTTAACTATATTGAATTAGCAGTGTTACTTAAGTTAAAAGAAACACAATCTGAATGTTTTTTTCGTCGTTTCTTATATATTTTATTAATCTGATTATAATCGGCTCGTTGGCTTAGAGGTTGCATTCTCGGTCCAGTCTGGAGTTGATCGATTTTCATCTCCAGAAATATTTGTAAGAAATTTATTTATTCGAATTTACTGTAAAAAAAACGACATAATTTTCCGGTTCCCCTAATACAGTTTTTAAACTTGTAGTGGAAGACACTTGATGCTAGTACAATTTTTTCGAATATTAATTCATTAATTTTTTAATTAATTAATAAATAGTAACAAGAATAATAGTCCAACACCAGAAAAAAAAGGAAAGCTGCTCGTTTTATCCCTGTAGCGCGATGAGTTAGCGCGCGTTGAACTTCTAATTCAAAGGTCGTTGGTTTGAATCTCACCTGGCATGTCCTAATTTCTGAGAATGTGATTTTGTTTTACTATGCTGTCTTATCGGAATAATAAAATTTAATTAATGAATAAATAGTAACAAACAAAAATAATAGTCCAACTCCCTATACAGAAAGGAAAATCACTTTCTATTTTATCACTTAATATTGTGATTCTATCATATGCTTATACATATTTATATGAATTTTAACTATTTAATAAAAAGTAACTGAAGTAAAATTTTTCTTTGTCGACCTAAGTAGGAATTGACTTAAATTTTTTTTTTATATTACTTGTTCTATGTATTTTATAATTCTGTACTATGTATAATAACAAATTACACACTTTTTATTCAATAACTAAAAATACTATTAGCGAGTTATTAAGCATTAATTAATTGAAAATTATAAAATACTGACTAATAGATGATTCCCGACTCGAAAGAGTTTTTTTCCCCTCGACTTTATGCAGAAAATAAAATACTGCTTCGTTTGCTTTCCGCTGCATGAGGTACGTTTTCACAGTTTCCAAACAATGCAAAGCATTAGAAAATGAAACATTTTTAAAGATTTTCATTGTCAATTTCTTCCTCAGAATCGCTATTCATTGGCACAAATTTTCTATAAAACCGTGCGTATAATTAACCTCATTTTTTTTAAAAAAAAATAACAAATTGTAAAAATTCTTAAAATATCCCCTGCGTTGTGGAGTTAGATGAGATAAGAAATTTTCTGTCCTATTCAAAACTCAAGCGATAGGTTACACTCATGACTCATCTTCTCCTGTAACAACTAATTACGGGCTGCACCCTTTCCCGTCGAAATTTGCTCTCACAAGAAAAGTTTTTTTTTCTTTTCCTTTTGTTCCGCACAAAAAGGCTATGGCATTTGAAAAGAAATCCATTTTTTTCTAATAAAAACTAGTAAAATTTTTTTTTCGCCTATTGAAGTAATTCGTTAATTAGGGATTTATTATTCGTTAAAAATACGGTGTTTTGCCTTTGTTTTATTCGGGGGAGAAAATTTGTTAAATCGCGAAATTCGTTAGATAGGGAAAATTAAATTAAGGCTGTTTTCGGCAAAAGTACGAAAGCCTGAACTAAACGTGCAGCTCATTTTCAGACAGAAAAATGCCTCAATTTTCATGAAAATTTGCAACATTATAACTCATACATCTATTAACAATATAGTGTTTCTAAAATTTCAAAATATTCCTTGTGTGTGTGTGAGTATTATTATTTTTTTTTCATTTTAACACGTGAAAGGACAGCTCATTTAACATTACGGTATAGGAGAAAAAACGCGAAATACATTTTATACCAGAAGAAATGGCTCAGCTCTGTCAAAAAAGTGAAGAATGATAAAATATGATGTTCTCTAAGGGACAGTGTGAAGCCAGAATATAATATTAATTTTTCATTTCTTTTATATCTGAAAAAAATGTACCTAATTCGAGTCCTATTCTTTAACATTAACTGAAAACAGCTTTAAATCAACGGATTCGTTAAATTTAATCAACGGATCATCCAAATTCAGTTATTAATTCTATTAACAAGACTTATATGGAACTTTGCGTCCAAAATCTCTTAAGAAGATGTCTTCGCTGGAAAGCTCAGAACTGCAATGGAAGTCTTAACAATGTCGTGTGGAGTATAATCTCAAAAGACACCTTTGTTGAGCTATAAACACTCCGCTTAGGGAATTTATATTGCAATAATACTTTTTAATTCTAGGTTTGCTGGTTTATTACCTCTCCTTCAAAAGTTAGGAATGAAATTAGGGACTAGGAAGAAGGGATATTTTTGGTACCCCGACGAAACGAGAATTGTTGATTCTAGGTGGCATTCTAAACCAGATAAGATACTGTCTCGTAAAAAAAAAAAAAAAAAAAAAAGAAAAGCCCTTCAAAAATGTAAAACTTTGTAGTATGTGGTTCAGGAAGGCACCACGTACAAACCTGGAGAGTTTTAATACCTTCCTTAATATTTAAAAAGTTTTATTGCAAATATAAACTTTATTTTACATTTTTCGAAGAATGTTATTTTTGTACATAATGGTTAACGGTAAGAGTGATATTTCTTAAAGTAATTGAAATATTCTTATGAAATATTTTGAGTTTGTTTTTTGTGTTATAATGAATGCTTTCTGCTAAAAGCTAAGGGTAATTTTTAAATTAAGTTATTTTATAATGTAATTTTATATGAAAAAAAAAATTTTTTTAGAGAAAATTCCGGGTTTTCCATTGCGAACATCTGTATTTTATAATTTTACTGAAAAATTTTAGCTGTTTTAATATAAAGAATAGTTAAACGTTAAAGAGTTGTATTCCTGAAAAAATTTTATTTACTTTAAAAATATGTATATATTTTTAGAGTTGTTAGTAAAAGAGCAATTTTTTGTAAAATTTTGGTACAAATTTCTCAATATTTTGAAAAATAAGTCTTCAAAAAAAAATTTTTTTTTTGCTGTGTTTGTATAGTTTTGCAACATACTTAAAAATTAATAATTAAATAATTATTTAAGTCATATTTTAGAAAATTGTCTCCGAACCCAGTCGGATACCTTAAAACCAGCGTTTCTCAAACTGTGGGGTGCGCCCTCCTAACCTACGAGGGGGGCACCAGCATATTGAGAAGTCAAAAATTAAAGATTTAAAAAAATACAAAATTACTGAAAGGTAGCAAAACAAAATACATTCTGATATAATAAAAAGTAAAATACACATTTACACTGATATAATATACTTATAAATGTATTAGTACTTTACAATGTATTTGATAACTAATCCCTCAATGCTAAGTTAAGAACAAGTTTAATAATTACTAGCGACTCCTATGGGCTTGCCATATGCAATATTATACACAAAATTTGTAATACTTATCTTGATAACTCGTACAATTTATGATTAAAATTATATTGTAGCTTTAATATCAAAGTACATTATTATTGCATTTAGTACATTGTTAATGTATGAAGGGGGCGAGGAAAATTATGATTTAAAATTGGGTCGCGCCAATATTGAAAGTTTGAGAAATACTGCCTTAAAACGTATGTTATATACTGTATACTTAAAAATGTCGCAAGTGGGGCCTATTTTTGCATATGGGCCCCAGGGCCTCAAGAAACGTGAAGACGTCCCTGCATGTGACCATGAGAGCAAAAATGTTTCGAAACGGTGAAACGATGGGAATATTTTCCAATCAGATTGCAGTAAAGTAGAATGCTAGACGCCATACGGTGATAATTTTACTTCTGATAACTCTATCTGAAGCTATCGTTTGTTATCTTGCCGACTAGGGAAAAAAAACAACATTTGAATAAGACATATATGTTCTATGTTTGTGTTATTTTCTGTGAGTCGCTTTTCCTCCCAGAAAATTACCGCGGAAACAGAAATTCATATACACAAGTTATTCCTTATTTTAAATAACAAGTGGTGACATTTACTGAAAATTCTAATAGTACGGCTGCTTAATATTTCTTTGTATTGAGAGAAAAGTTCAAGAGTGGAGGAAAAAAAACATCTCGATGAAAACACCGAAAAGGAATCGAGGGAAAACTCGCCTCTTAAATATATACATTCAGACATACCGATGGGCGAATGTCACTTTTACGAATTATTTGGAAATCCGCATTTTGACACCCAGTTCGAAGGATTTATGTGACTTTTTTTCCCCTCCTTGATTAAAGATTACATTCAAAACACCCAAAACGCTTACAGATTAAAAGCGCTTGCGCATAACTAACGGAGAATGTAAGAAAAAACCTTTTTTTTTTCCTTTCTGAGATTAGCTGATCCGTATATACGCCGACACTCGTACTCGTGGAACTTTAAAAAGTTCCAAACATTCTCAACTTATACACGGATATATACAGTAATGATATATTTTTAAAATTATTATCTAATGTTCTAATTTTTATATGCTGATTATTATTACAAATAAACAGAACCCCCTTTTGAAATAATTTTCGAACAACACTACTGATCAACTGTGTACTTTTGCTCTCTTTTTCAATTCCTACTATTAGCTCACACTCTCTATATATTTATCCTGGTGGAATTTTCAATCGTTAATAAAATATATTTTAAAACGCTCAATTGAGCTGAAGTTTTATATACATGATTATTTTGAATGACAATACAGCGATTTAATTATAATTAATAAAATTAATTGATTAAAACTAATTATTTAAAGAATTACAAATACAGCCTCGTTGGTATCATTTTTGGCGACTCGCGTCAAAACTTGAAAAGGTTTTTTTTCTCACATTTTAAAGCGCTCATTAAAGCTGAAATTTTCTATACACTATTGTTTTAAATAAAAGTACGATAATTTAATTATAATTAATTAAAATTAATTGACTGAAACTAATTATTTAAAGAATTACAGATACAGTCACGTTGGTTTCATTTTTAGCGACTTGGGTCAAAACTTTAAAAGATTTTTTTCTCACGTTTTAAAGCATTCAGTTGAACAGAAATTTTATATTCACGATTGTTTTGGATGACAATACGATACTTTAATGATAACTAATAAAAATTAATTACCACTTAATGTTGTTATTCTGTCATATGTATACATATATTTATACAAATTGTAACTATTTAATAAAAAACAGCTAAAATAGAAGTTTCCTTTGTTGATCTAAGTAAGAATTGACTTAAAAAAATGTTTTTTTTATATTACTTGTTATTTTGCTACTTAATAAGCAATTGAAGTTTTCGGTGGGGAAAAACTATTTTCCAACTCCATGTAAAAAAAAAAGGAAAAACTAACTGAAATTTTTAAATTTTGAGAGAGAGAGTGTAGTATTTGTATAAAATGATCTTAGAGAAAGTCCGAATTTTTACGAAAGATTTCAAATTAACCGCATCCATGCAGATTAGATTCTTTTGGAGCGGGACGAAAGAGAACCAATGAAAAAAGTTCCCAGCGAGTGACGTCACAGAGGGCCAACTTGAGAGTTTTCTCCGGGACATGCTCATCAGTTGCTCCATGGAGTATCAAAGCTTGATGTG